AGAGTTCTTCTGCTGCCGACTGCAACCGTTGTTGATCAGTTCAATTTGTAAAAATCGTCTTGCTAATTTCGTTCACTGTAAATATAAGCGCAACATTATGTTCAGTTTGATCGACTGGTGTAGGTGTAAACCGTTAGTGATTAAAAAAAAATTGTATATTACCGCCCTGACCGGTTTATCATGCATGCGATCGGGTTCCCATGCAGGGAAACTTTGAGGGAAGCTTTGGAAACTCAAAAAACCACATATTTTTGCTAACATCAGTCGTTGGGAACCAAAAAAACTGCATGATAAACCGGCTGAATATTGAAAACTGTTAAGTTCTACCGCTAGTGACTAGTTCTCTCCCACCTAAAGTTACGCATTACTAACAGCATGCACAGGGTGTTCTGAAAATCCATTTTCCCATTTCATTGCGATTGGTTTCCGCTTACTACTCTGTACTGTTGTAGCTTTTAAATACGTACATATATAAATATATACATATAAAAATATTATGTAAATTGGGGGCGAAAAATAGCGGGCAAAACGTGCTGACTGATTGAATGGTTTTGCAGTTCGAGCACCCTTTGACGGGTACTTACTTACTCAATATGCCTATTGGTTCCGCATCTGTTGCTTACTTTCATTACCCACACCATATCCTTAAATCGAAAAAGCTCTAATCTAACGAAACAGCAGTATTAATCACTTAAAGATCATGTTAAGTCGGTTTTAAGTACAAACAGAACTATGAAGACCAAGTATTTTCAAATTGTTATTAAGACTTACTATTGTTATCTAGCTTTTTTAATGTCAAATGCTCTCAGGTCGAATCTATATCTCTCTATGTACATTTGTGGTTATCTTGCCATTCGCTTGTGGGCACTTTAATGTTTGCGTGCAAACTTTAGACGGAAAAAATCTGTAGAAACGACGGTTTTTGATCAGTTTGAACATCAATCAGGGAGCGAATCTACTTGCAATCAATTATACTTTTTTTCGAAAAAATATCATTATCTCGAAATGCGCTTTTTTATCGGAATTTGCAGGATTTTAGGGTCATTTTGTGTGATTTACTCCAGTTTTCTTTTTGATTTTGGCTGGTGTTAAAGGCCAATTTGGAAACAGGCTTGGAAAAAGTGTTCAAATTTAGAAAAGTCGCCAAAAATCTCTTAAAAATGTGCTTCTAATGTAAATTCCCGTCAGCATAGAGCCGGGTTTTCCCTACGTAGTAGTGCAACCGTTAAGGCTTTGCCTCTAACCAGGTGTGAGCAATTAATTTTTGAGCAAACAAAACGAGGGTTCAATTTTTAAAAAATCGCCAAAAATTCCTTGAAGTTGACTTTTTAACACAAATTATCTGTAATATAGAGGCTTTTATGATCTATTCAGTATCGTAAAAAAATTTTTTTTAGCTCTAACCAGGTTTGAGGAATTATTTTTTGTACTAACTAACTAACTTAACGCAAGGGAGCGAGAATTTGCTTGCAAGTTTTCAATTCAAAAAATTGCCAAAAATTCCTTGAAATTGATTTTATAACACAACTTCTCTATAATATAGAGGCTCTTGTGATCTACTGAGAACAGTAAAAAAAAATAGTTTAGCTGTAACGAGGTTTGAGGAATTATTGTTTGAGCTAACCGCTGCAATACAGCGATCATTTGTAAGTGTTCGATTTAAAAAATCGCCCAAAATTTTTGGAAAATGACTTTTTAACGAAACTTCTGTAGAATATAGAGCCAATCTTGTTATATCCAGTAATGCAAAAACTAACTCTCCAGCTCTGTCCAGGTTTGAGCAATTATTTTTTGAACAAAGAGTGGTGAAGGAGCAGCAAATCGCAAAAGTTC